CAGAGTGATTTGACATGCACCTGATGCGCTGGCAGCTTTGCATAATACACAGCAGACGTCTGCGGGGGCCAAGTACAGACACTGCTGGGTTTATGCGGAAAAGAACCTGGGAGCAGCCTGTCTTCAGCTTGCATTTACCTGTGGGCAAGTGACTGGTGGAATTCCCAAACTTCTCTGACTTTCCTTTGCCAACCCATCCAGATCCTCATCGGGACTGATAAAGTCCCGGTGCTCTATCAGGTCTTATGATGCTTCTCACTCTTGGGTGTCAAGAGTGATGCTCGCGTAGAGCTGATCCTGTGCGTTACTCCAGTTTGTCTGATGGCAGCTTTGAAGGGGTGTTTTGACACCTGGGTGCTGAGAAGCATCCAGGCAGATTTTCAGAAGAGCCCAAGCAGAGGACAGGCCTGAATCTTAAGGAGGATTAGCTGTCTGATCCTTGCGGTACCACAAACAGATCTGCAGTGACAGGCAGGCTAAAGCTCACCAAATGCCCCTCTCTGGTGAGCAAGTTCTCAGTTGAATTGAGGTCCAAAGCAATGGAAGAGAAGGTGTGAACCTGTTGCCTTTCCCTGTTGGCTGGCCAGTCTTGGAGACCGGTGGTGTAGAAATGCCAAAGAGAATAAAGGTACGACACCTGATTTGAAACCAACAGTACTTTTTATCCATCATCACGGGGTTGCTTTTCTACAGAGCAAACACTCTTGTGGTATTGCTGGGGCTCAGATGTGGGGCAGTAACACTGTGAGGGGAACACTGGGCACCAAGCAGAAGGTTTCTTGCGTGTCTCCAACACGTGGACAGCCTTGCTTCACTGTGTCTTATGATTCCATAGTCATCCATTGCTGTGAATTTTCTAGTGTGGCGTTATTCAGACGTTGGTCCTGCTTGTTGAAGTACTTCCTGAGCTCACTGCCTGGTTCTGTGGCTACCTGGGATATGAAGCAAAGACATCAGCAGACTTCAACTACCTTCCAAAGAATGGCTGCTGGGTTTCATGTCATGGTCCATCTACAAAGGACTTAAGTTCAAGGGAAACAGAATAAGTGCAACCACTCTTGGTCTCCTGGTGTTCACTCAAGGGGGAGAGGTGATGTGGAAAAGGTGCTGAGCTGGGACACACGGTACCTGATTTCCCTCCGTGACCTGCTCTGTAATCACTGTGCCTCAGTTTCCCTTCCCTCCAATTTGAGTGTTTAGACTGAGCTCTTGTAAATACCAAGCTTGACGTGATCTCCTGGGCTGGAAGAGCTGGGTGGTGCTGTGGGCTTGGGGTGGTGCTCGCTTGTGCATCCCTTTGTGCAGACATGAAATCCTGTGCCAGGCTGGTACAGCCCAGGGGCTTTGCCATTCACACTGATGGGCTCTGAACGCAGGGTCTCTTTCACTCTGCATTTGCATAGAGCTGAGGGCAATTGGGCAGTGGTTCAGAACATACATGTGCCTAAGAGGAGCTGTACCTTCATGAGGCCTCTTTTTCCCTTCGTTCACTCTCTTATCCTTTAATTCTTAATGAAAAAAAGCACCAGAGCACTTCCTCGCTGCCCTCCCTCCCCTCGCTGCCTTTGGCACGATGCATTCTGCATTGTCTGGCAGGCTCCAGCACAGTCTTCAACAATTTTCTCTCCCTGCATCACAGCAGGCTGTTCCTGTAGCACAGCTGGTCCAAAATGTGTGTTTGGGAGTGAGGAGAGCAGACACTGCTGGCTGGGAGTGCCTTGGGAAGCTGCTTTTCTTGGCCCGGAGCTGTGGACCTTCCTGTGGGCTGGAAGGTGAGGTGCAGCCTGTGGGGTTTGTTGAGTTTTTTGAAGGAAATATGCTCCTGGGAGCTGTTTTTTGGCAATAGCCTGCGTCCAGAGCTTCAAGTTGTATGGGCTTGAAGTGGTGGCTTCTGCAAGTGTCCCCTCATGCTGTTCAGTGAGGGGTGTTGGAATCGTGTCCCTCAATTTTAGTTACTGACCCTCATAGAGGGAGCTGAGCCTCTGGAGCACAGCAAGCTGGAAGCCCACTTCTTCTGTGGTTCAACCAGAACCCTCACCCCCCAAGACAGATCCAGGCTGCCCTGGGAGTCCCTGTGAGCTGCGTTGCCAGGGCAGATAAACAGTGCCACTGGTGCTTGCAGCCGTCCAAGTGTCCCAGTCATCGGAGAGGCAAAGACCTGCAGTGTTTTCTCTACCCTGTCACCTTGCTGGGGGGCTTCACCTTTCCAGATGGAAGTGCTGCTCCATTAAACCCAGCCACCTGCCTCTGGCTTGGAGCTTGGGATGGAGGTGAAAGTCCAGGGCAATGCCTGGTTGCCTGGCAAAGCTGCTGGGGGAGAACAAAGGCTTCTTGAAACCAAACCAGTGTTAGAGAGCAGTGTGGTTTGCTCACCTCTGTCTTTGGAGCTGATGAGGAGGAGTTGCTCATGACTGAATCCGTATTTAGAATTTGCCATGACACGCTTTGTCCTCCTGTTGTGGTGGATTAGAGATGTCTGCCCTTTGCAGCCCTCTAAACTTTTTGCTTTCTCTTAACTCCCCTGCTCTCTTCCTAATCTCAAACAGCCCAACTAAACCCTGATGCTTCCCCTCTCAGAGCTAAATAATCCTTGCAATTGCAGTCGCTTTCTTGTCTTTAAGGCTTTCAGTGCTTAAGATGTGTGTGATCTTCCCTATAGTGTGGAGGCAAAAAAAGCAAAGCCCTGAGCATACAGATGGAGAAAAGGGCAAACTGGGGGTTAATAGAACATCCCATGACATGCTCACATCGGTTTCTCGCTGTCACCACCCTGTCTGCTGCCTTCACTGCAGTGCTGTGGTGGGGAGCTTGCTCCTGGCAGAGGACGGATGGTTTGGTGGCTCTGGGATAAGGGAAGGGGATGTGGGGCTCAGAGTTTCACCTGACTCCCAATGCCACCTGATGCCAAAGACAGCGCTGCTTTGGTTTCGACTTTTCAGAGCTGTTTTGTTGTTCATCCACCCTCCGCCTTGTAAGCACAGGAGGATGCAGACAGAAAGGTTTGTGGAAACCAAGGTATTCCTTGTTTTCAGGGGCTGATTCCTAGCAGCAGAGGTGGGGGATTACTGAAAACGGCATTTTCCCTTCTAGTGGCTGCAGATTAAAGAACCGGGTTTTCCCACTGAAAAAAAAACACAAGACCACAAAATGTATCAGATTCAGTGACCAGAAGCAGAGAAGTGAAAATTTTCGACAACTGAATAAATCAGCTGGGGGAAAGTTGAGTTTCAGATGAAAAGAGGAATCCATTATAGGAAAAAAATGCAGTGAGGATGGAAATGAAAATGGGTTCAGGGACACTTTAGAGATGAGCATTCTGCCCTGCTCAGCTGTGAGCTCCCTGTGCCCTCCTCCTCTCACCATGAAGTAAAGACTCTTTCCCTGCTGCCCCAGTTGTGTGGATCAGCTTGGCAGTGCTTGGGGGTGAAGGCTCCCAGGAGGAAACACTCTCAGTTTAATCTCTGCCCAGGGTCTCGTTGAGTGTGTGAGGGACACTGAGCCAGCGGGAGCTGGAGCATCCTGGCACGAGGCTTCATTTCCCAAAGACTTCAGCTTCCTTCTCCAGGCAAAGTTTCTCCTAAGGACTTCAGCACTCAGTTTAATCTGCAAACTATCCAGTACTGGGGTTGGGGAGAAAGTCTTTTATTGCATTCCCATGGGAAGGCAACCTACAGACTGGAGCAGCTTCTTGCTGCCCTGGGCTTACAGAAGTTGGGTGGCTGTGGCTGTGTCAGGCTGGTTGGTGGCCTTTGCTGTCTCTGACCCTCAAGGAAGCAGGATGTGATGAACCTTCCTCCTCCTTTATGGCTGCTCCTGGCTCTCCTCTGCAGCCACTGCTGCCTCTGAGGGTATCTTTGGGCTGTGCTGCAGTGTGAGAAAGCCCTTCAGAGATACCAAACCCCTGAGTAAGGAGCCAGTTTCTCCCGGAGAATCACCCTTTGGATATTGCCAGCCCTCATTTGTGGATATTGCCAGCCCTCTCGCTGTCTCCTGAATTCAGCAGATGTTATTGCTACTGACTTCCCTAGTTGGTGGGTTGGTTTTGAACTGAGACAGCTTGGATGACTAAGGCAAAAAACACATTAGCAGCAGAGTCCAGGGTTTCCTTACTGTGGGGGAGTGAAAATGTCCCCCTGTTGACAGCCCTGACTTCTCTGGAGGGTCCTTTCTAGAAGTTTATAGTTTGTATCCCAGATTTAGCCTACATGCAAAAGCGGATCCTCACCAGCTACTGCAGTGCCGGTTGACGTGAGGCGCTCCGCGAACAAGGAGGAGTTAGCTTCCTGACTTGTGGTGGATGGATGCAACAGAGGGTGCCGGAATAAACAGGATTAAAGGATTTCGTCCATAAATACGGGATTAAAGGTATCCAAGTGCTCTGCAGGAGTCATTCAAACCAAGGAGAAACAAAGTAAGTTGTCTGAGGAAAGGGCACAGCTCTGGTGTGAACCTGGCTGAGCGCACACAGCCCTGCAGCGCCCCATCCCCGGGTGCTGGTGCGGGGGGTGCACCCACACCCCATCCGTGCCGCGGCCCCGGTGACTGGATCTGAGCTGAGCATCCCCATTACCCCGCACCCCCCGGCCCCATAGCCCCGGCGTTCTCCAGGACTTCCGATGGGGGGGGGGGGGGGGAACTCGATGCCCAGTGCCGAGGGGGCACCCATGGGTGCAGCAGCTGGGCAATGCACATCTGGGCAGCGGCGCGCAGGCGCGGGGGCCGCCTCGCCTGGTCCCCCCAAGGCGGAGCCCTCCCCCGGGGTCTTTGCGCTCCCGCGGGGCGCTGCGCAGGGGCGGGGGGGGGATCGATCCCTCCCTCCCCGCGGCCCTGGGGAGTGGCCGCGTCTTGGTCGTATTTATCGGGGTGGGCGGCGGCGGCCGGGCAGGCTCCATCCTTCCCTCCTTGCATCCCTCCCTCCTGCCTCCCTTCTTCCCTCCCCGCCCGCCTCCCGGTGCCGGTGCTTGGGCGGGCGGAGCCGCGGCGGCCGATTGGCTCCGGGCATCACATGCGGCGGGGCCGGGCCGTGCCGGGCCGTGCCGGGCCGGGCTGGGCTGGGCTGGGCACGGCGGAGCGCTCCCGCGGCCGGCACGGCAGCAGCGCGGCCCCTTCCAGCCCCACCGGCCTCCCCCCGCAGAAGGGACCCTGCCGGAGCCGCCGCCGCCCCGGGATGGGGTCGGGCCGGAGAGACGGTACCTGTGCGGGGAGGTGAGCGGAGCCCCGGCGCCTTCCGCCCGGCCCCGGGCAGCCACAGCGGCGGGGAAGAGGAAGGGCTGGAGGAAGGTAAAGGGAGATATCTATACATACATATATATATATATATATTTAACTCTATCTATATATTTCGCTGCGATCAACCCCGATCCCGCAATCGAAGCCCCCGGAGGGAGAAGTGCTGCGCGCTGTGATGCGTCTTCCTCTCACCTCGGCTGCCAGTTTGGATTGTAGCGCCCGGCTCCGTGCACTGAGAGAATGGCTCGGTTCGGGGATGATCTGCCAACCCGCTATGGAGGCGGAGGGCCGGCCGGGGCTGGAAGAGGGAGCAGCCGGCAAGGTGGCCCCCAAGCCGGCCAAAGGATGTATAAGCAGTCGATGGCTCAGAGGGCCAGGACTATGGCTCTCTACAACCCCATCCCTGTCAAACAGAACTGCTTCACAGTCAACAGATCCCTCTTCATCTTCAGTGAAGATAATGTTATACGGAAATATGCCAAGAGAATAACAGAATGGCCATATCCTTTCAGGGAGGGGATGTGGGCAAGGTGGGGAGGGGGAGAAGAGGACAGGGGGAAAGAGACACCCCCCCCACCCCCCCCCTCCAGCAGCTAAGGCTGAGTATCTGGTGCTAATGTAGACGTGCGTGTGTGATCTGGTGTGTGATGGGTGTGTGTGACATGGAGCCGTGTGTCCGACATCATGTACAGCTGTGTAGCTGGGGATCACAGGAAATTGCTTCAGTAGGAATGGCAGAGTGTGTTTTTGGCTCTGCCAGGGGTGTGTGGGAGACATATGTGCGTTTCCCTGTGCCTTTAGGTGTGAGATGTACAGTTGCAAAGATCTACATTGCCTACAATGTAAGCCAAATGCAAAGGGTTCTGTGAGATTCATGCTACTGAACCCTCATTCCTATTTCCATCTTAGAGCCTTTCAACCCTTCTTTCTCACTCTGAATAGATGAAGGAACGTGGGATTAAGATGGTGACACCTTAGCATTAAAGCTGCATTGATAGTAGGGATGTTGAGAGCTGAGATACCTTGTGAATCCCATTAATACGATCATTGCAGTGAGTCTTTTGGTACATCACCTCCTGAATCTGTTAAAATCAACATGAATCTTGTCACTCTCACTAGGTGCGTAGCCTAAGCTCAGGCTGTACTAAAAAAATTAAACCCAAAGCGTTGTGGTGGGGGGAAGCAGTAAGTGAGGAGAAGGATCATCTGCTGGGCTGTGAAAGGCACAGATGCTTTCTGTCTCAGACCCAGATCCCAGGCTGGGAGAGTGAGCTGCAGAGATTGTCCTCAGAAGGGGGCTTTGCTCGTAATGATGCACACAGTGGGGTTGTAAGCCCTGAGAAAAGAGAAGCAGACTATTTGAGGTTACCTGGGGGTAGATCTGGGGGGTGTGTGTGTGTATGGGAGGGCATTGCACTGGTATCTCAAGGGAGCTGGTTGTTTTCTTTACATTTGATATCACACACCTATTAATCCTCAGCTAACAGCAGCAGGGCCTCCTCCCAGCCTCCTAGCAACACTTCCCATTGCCACAGAGGCCATCTCCCATCCAGGCTCCCCCAGTTTTCACTTCTTGAGGGGCTAAGAGGGAAAAAATATACACCAGTCGAGTGAGTGCAGTTCTCTTTCCCCTGAACACACACACGCAGTGATTTTTCTGTCCGTATTACAGAGTCACAGGGATCGCTGCACTTCCTCATCCATTTCTCCTTCCCTGCATTCGAGTCTGAATAAACCAGCTCCAAAGCTCCGGTGGCAGCCACAGCGTCGCCTTCCCGCAAGGCCAGGCGCAGTCTCGCCCTCTCCTGCCTCTTGTGCCACTCGGCTGCCTCCTCCTAGCGGGGTGTGGGGCGGGCACCCCTTAGCGCTGGGGCTCGGGGAGGGGGGCAGCGGAGCCGCCAGTCGCTCCCCCCGCCGGAGCTGCGAGCGAGGTGCGGCCGGGTCCGGGCGCTGTCCGCGGTGCTGAGCGGCGCTGTCCGCGGTGCTGAGCGGAGCTGTCCGCGGTGCCGGCGGACCTGGGGCTCCGCCCTGGGACAGCAAGGCGCTCAGCACAGCTTAGGACTAGAGACGATGGGCAGCCGGTGTCGCGTTTGCATTCTTCCCCATGAGATTGTTTCCCTTATACATCCCGACAGGGCACTGGTGATTTGATTCTCCCCAGGAGTGGGTATTGCAATCTAGCAGGAATTCATGTTTTGGACCTGCGTAGATGCTCTAAAGCAAACTTTTCTAGCCCATTGCTTATTTACACTATGTGCTCCAGTTAAATGACAGGGAATTTCTGAAGAACAACTCAGCAGATGGCATTCAGCTGTAGAATCTATTTCGGGGCAGTTATCTTATCAATATCATGTAAACCCAACAGTTACTAACAGCTTTCTGTTTCCTTGGGACCTTTCGTTTTCTTGCTCCCAAATTCCTTGAGCACGTTGGGTTCTGTATAAGTCACCAACTCCCTCAAAGAAAAGAGACAATTTCCTACTTTCCTTCCAGAGACATCCCAGAAAGAGCCGAGGAAGTCAAGGAGACTAAATACCTTCAAAAAAGATAAGAAATCTCAGAATGCTCAACTAATGTAACTGTTTAGGTAGAAATGTGTTGTCTAGTGTCTTCTTTAACTTCTGGTCCCTACTCCATTTGAATATATGATTTTAGCTACAATCATAGCCAACTGTATTGTGCTGGCTCTGGAACAACATTTGCCGGATGGAGACAAGACACCTATGTCAGAGAGATTGGTGAGTTGTATTATTTATTTCAATTTCTTGTTTCTGTTCTAATACAAAAAGCAGTCAGCCCCCTGGTGTTGTGAGTGCTTGCACCTACTGTAAAGATCCGTGTATAAACAAATTGGCATTAACCCGATAATCAGACAAAATAAGACAGTGACAACAAGTATAACTCTAACCTGCACATCCCATCTCCACAAGAATGCTTCATCACTCTAGCCCTGCCCAATTGCAGGAGCAGAATTATGATCATAAGAGCAGCAAACTTAGGTTGTTTATAAACCAGGACAGGAAGGAGCTGCCAAATGCTCAGAATCATCTGTAGAATCAAATGAACTTGTGTGATATTTTCCCAGGAAATGCTAGAACAGAGTAACCTTTTAGGTTCCTATGTCTTTAAGCTAGCTTCCTGTTACAGCATATACCAAGGATCCTACAAAAGCAAACTTTGGCTTTAGATGATTACACTTCCCTTCCAAAAAAAGAAACCAACTTAGAGAAGAAAATAATTTACCCACAGGCTTTATGGTAATGAGCCCAATTACCTTATTTCAAAAGAAAATATAAGAATAGCTTCAAAACTGTTCTTCCATTTATCATCACTGTAGGAAAAACGGGTAATATTTGGTTTGATTTTTCTCCTGCTGTTAATGGTCTGGAACATCTTTCATGCCTAAATGCATTAATCATGGCGCATGTTCAAAGGATGAATAAATACAAACCCACATGCCTTTTGCATGTAGATATTAAATTATGTAAACCAAAGTAATATTAAGCTTGTTGCCAAAAGCCAGAGCCCCTGCATACTGGTTGCTACAGTTTCTATGTTTGGTCCACACCACTGGGCAACTCTCACAATCTTACTGTGCAGAAACAGGAAAAAGCATGTAACTGATAGATCTAGAAAGAGCTTCAGGGGCAGCGAGTTGATGCTGCCTGTTTGGAAATGTATCTGTTCATGCTGGCTGCCCACCTGCATTGTGTTTGCTTAGTCTCTTTCTGATCTCTTTCTGTTTGGATTCTTTGTACTTGGGAAGAGATGAAGAAAAACTTTAGAACACGAATGTGTGTTGATCTTGCTGCCGTTAAACATGTCTTTGTGTGCTTTGGGATTGACTAGCCAGGCAAGCCTGGGTGTGTGAGCAAAGCGGAAGTTTAGACTCAGGGTGATGATAAAGCTTGGGAAATATCTTCCATAGCTCTGAAAACAGGAACCAGTGAAGGGGAAAAGCAGTTTTGTGGATGTTGTGGTTTGGTAAACCTTTGGTGATTTGTTGTTTGAAGGAGTGGTAGATACAGTTAGCGCATTGTTCCTATGTTCCTCTCTAACTCTAGATTTGTAAGTGGATCCTAGAGGTTCTTTGTTGGTCTTTTCCCCCACTGTACTAATTGCATTCTACAGTACCCAGTACTGCACACACCCCTCAAGTTCCTGCCCAAATCATTCCAAAGGGGGCACTGGCATTACCACCAAATTGTGCAAGGTAACTGTATGAGTTGAACACACAGTGTGCACCTTGTTGGCTCTGCCTTGATGAAGAAGGAAGAATTAACCCCTTTTTTTTTTTTGTCTCAAACACCGTTGTGCAATATTGCCTTGGATCCAGATATTCTGAAGCCATTTTAACTACAGAACATTTGTAACTCTGAAGTATAAAGTGGTTTAGCATAGAATAACACTGAGAATCTTTACAAGTCATGTAATATTTTTTATTTTCAACATATGCTGGAAAGATTAAGCATTGTGAATATGAAAAACTGTCTCCTGGTTTTCAAAGTGAAACCTCCTTAGAATCCTCCTGCCACTTCCACAAACTGTAAGTTGTTTCACTGAAAATGTTACAAATCCATGTTAAATCACAGTGGACCAACATTCCCATGCATTTACAGGTTTTGAGCCAAATTATAAGTCCATAAAGAAGAGCAGGGCTTCTATTGCTTTCTTTGCCAGAAATGGAATTGGCTTTTTTGGCTTAATGATTGATGGATGTACCTTTCCTTCTCCTGGGTTCATTAAAATCTCCAAATTGGAGTGAGGGCTCATCACTGAAGAGTTAGTCACATCTTAAGGATATGAGATGCACATCACAAGCCTTTTATGACTGGGAGATGTAGGCAGAGGTGTTAAAGGGAAACCAAACCTGCCCAGATACTTTGTGGCACAGATACAAGGACAAAACCCTCAAGATTGTCTATTGGTTAAAGCTGAGAGAAAGAGGGAGGAGTCCATGCAAACATTGCATGATTTTTCTCTTCTATTCAAAATATCTTTCTCTGTAGCTCCCCAGAGACCTAAGATATGAACCTGCAGTGCAAACTCTCTTGGCTGTTTCCTGTGCTCGTGTTACTTGTTAAGCAGGGTTAATTAAGCACATGGGAAGAGCAAGTGATGTCTCAGTAGATGCAGTATTTCAAGAATTAGGATGTCTGAATTATGAGTTCTTTCTCTGTCCATTTTCTGTATGTAGCTGTAGCACAGAAAAACATTGTGTTAATGCTGGTTAAAACTAGGGCTCTGATAAAAACACCATATTGGTGGTCAAAGCATTTAGTGGTGATCTGGAGCATTGGCTTCAAGGACTTACTCTTCAGACAAGAGAAATAAGTTAATTCTTCTGCTAGCTGTAGAATGACCTACTCTCTAGTTCCTTGCCTGCTCTGGGCTGGGACTTTCACATGCTTTGGCTGCTGGAAGAGTTTACTTCACATCAGTAATTATCTGCTGGAACAAATACTACAAACTTGCTATTGTCCATCTCAGCTGAGTGCCTTAGCCAGTAGGTTACAGAGTCAGCCTCCTTCTGTCCTAAGAAATAATGCGTTGTTTATACACAGTGGAGTGATGCCAACTGAAAAGATGCTGAGAGAGTTGTATTGAGTGGCCCAGTGCCTGCCAGTGAGAGTTCCAAATGTAGGAATGGGGAGTTTCACATGTAAGCCCTGAATGGCCCTGCACGTGGATGCTTTGTGCTCATGATGCTCTTGGATCTTCAGGCTGAGACACAGGCGTTTTCTCCATGTCTCTTTCCTAATGTCTCACTTTTTCTTCAGAAGCTTCAGTAGACCATAGCCTGACAGAGACAACATCTATAGGATGTTCCTCTGCACCCCACTGCAGAGCTCCAAGTGTTTGGCTCCCCTGGGTGTTTTTTAGGTGAGGACAGAATATAACTTTTCTCAGATACTCAGAATGGCAGCTTTTGTGCTTAATAATAAAATGGATTTATTTCTTTATCCTATCCACAGCAGTTGTATGTGAGCTGTTCGTATTAACTTTTGCATGAACAATGCCTTACACACCCAAACCTATAAAGGCTGTCACACCAAAGGCCAAGGAAAGACACTAGGACATGGACTAGGAATAGTAATGACTTTCCAGACTCAGAAGTTGTTTCTGATCTGAAACATATTGATTAAATGTGTGTTTGGCCCAGCATCAAGCTTTGCTGTGTCCACAGCAAACAACCTGCTGGCACAGCTCTGGCTGCTGCCCAGCTTCTCCTCCTTCCTTCCAAGTACGCACACTGATATTCATTATCACCTGATTTCCTACTCTTGAACCCAAACAGCAACACAGTCTCCTGTCTGAAGGGGGCTGCAGGATGTCCTGGCAGCAAGATTGCTGATCTGGCAGCAATGTCCCCCATGTCCTTGCTCTCAGTTCCCTCTATCACACAAGTCATGCAATCCCCTTTTTTCAGCATCAGGCTCCACTATGTAATGGAGCGTAAAGTTTATTTTTCATTGTATTGTTACTTTATTGTATTCTTAGGCTGAATTACTGTGAATTTAGACAGGCTTTAGAAAAGACCCTTTTTCTATCCCCTCTTATTTCCCCAACCCTATAGATGACATTTTTTCTTTATAATAATACTCAAGTCCATCTGTGAGCCTTTCTGCTTAGCTAGGAACTGACAAGACCTTCTTTGACCCTCTTCCTAAGAGCTCTTGTGGAGTGCTAGCTTTGGGAAGAACACATTCTACCAAATCCTTGAGTACCTGAAGCCTGGCTCTTTAAAACTGGGAGCTGTAATCACAAGGCACCTGACCTAGATTGAGCAAAAGACTGGGAGCAGAGTTGATATAAGGCTTCCAGGAAGTGAGGGAGTAATGAAAGGAGGTGTAGGTGGGTAAAGGTATATTTTTTGTATGTGTTAGAAGAGCTATTTTTAGAGGCACACTAGTAGTTGTGGGAAGGAAGCATAGGATGGTTTGGGAGGTCTTTGTTTGCAGAGATTTAATATGCTTGTTGAACTAGAAGGTGGTGTGGGGTTGAAGAGTAGGCAGATAAGGCTATTAAAGTGCTCTTGCTTGTATGGGGGAAAGCAGAAGAGCAGTAGGGTACTGAAATCGCACATGTTGATTTCTGACCTCTTTTTTCTTCTTCCCTGTTTTCTATAGTGGGTTGGAGTCCTGGGATGCTTCTAGTTTGTGTTATGAAGAAGCTGCTGGAGGAGGACTCTTATTGTAGGATTTTTGTTGAAGGTCATAAAAGGTCTGATGGCCTTGCCTGGTTCCTCTTTTTCTGTGGGTAAATAGCACTGAGATGGGTAGTTGGTCTTTCTCAGTCTGCCAGTGATAGCCTCTGTATCTTCTGAGCAGGTTTGCGGATGAGTAGAGGTCCTGGAGGTGCTGCCATTTGTGGAAACAGCTCTGGCTGGAAGAGAAGATACTTTTGGGTTTGTTTTTTTTCCCCTCCGTTTCAGCCAAAAGCCTACAATGTGAGCTCAACAGTCACTTGCCAGACAGGGTGTGTGTGGTCTGCAGGTGACTGGTCATCTTGCCTGGCCATAGGGAAATGGAAAGTAGAGTTTCTAGGCTGTGAGGTAAGGAAAGGTGGAGAGGAATGAGGATGATGTAGGGTGACAGATGAAGTGTATGGAGGAGCTGGGGTCACTGAGGTGTGTAGGGATGTGGGGCAGGAAACAAAACTGATGGGAGATCTTGTTTAGAAGCAGTAATTTCCAACAGTTTGGAGGCACCTTCAGTGGTTAGCACTTTGTGGTTGACTTGCTGAGTTGGGCATACATTGATGTGCTAAGTGTGTAAGCCTCTTCTGGAGGGGTATGCTATTAGTCTTCTAGGTGGGAAAAACCTGGCTTTCGGTAACAAGTACCATGCTTAAAGCACAGGGCTGTCTGCTGGCGCTGGGTCAGAGTTTAGCAAGTGTTGCCATGTTGTAAAATAGATTTTTATATCAAAACCAGTTCTTTGTTCTGTGGCCGCAAGATTCAACTTTCACGTTCTTTCTGCATAGGAGAACTAAAATCACCTTTGTCATTAGTAGAATTGCAAAATGTAAACAGCTGTGTATCAAAGGGCAGCCCAACTCTGATGGCCTGAAATGCCAAAGTCACTGCAACAAAGATTTCTAATCTCTTCATTTGGGAACTTGCTTCCTTTAGGGCAGGGCTGCTTTACTTCCATTGCCTCCAGCTGAAATTGGGGATCTAAGGCACATTTGGAAATTGGTTCCAGGTGCCAGATTTAAGTAACATTTTGTTGAAATTGATGCCCATTCCTTTCACCTCTTGCTTTGTTCTCATTTCTAGCCTGCATCTTCCTTCCAAATGTGAATGCTTCCATTTGGCATTGTTTTTGGGTTGAAACTCTTACAATAAAGTAGAATACTAAGGATCTGGTGCCACAGATGAAAAAATGGTCTAGGAAAACCATAGAGACTAAGCTTGATTCTTTTGAAGTTGTGATCCCATGGTCTGCTTTAGTCTGCACCAAGGGCTTGAGACACAAACCTGATGCTTCTGCTGTTAATGGAAGGGAGTGGGGATTTCTCCCTGAATCAGACACACAGTGAAAGAAAAACAGGTGACACTGCAGCTGTGAAAATCCAGAAAATGGAGGAGAAAGAAGGGAAGTGAAGGAAGAACTGATGGAATAAATGATAAATAAATAATTTCCTGCCAGCGTTTGCAAGCTAGCTGTGCTGACTGCTACTCCCCAAGATACCCTCTTGTTTTGGGTTCCTGGATGAATTGTAAAGCACATGTTTTCTTCCATGTCACTAAGTACAGAAATGTATTATTTCAAGTGTGAATATATCCTTAGAGCAAAATTTGAGTGTTAAAATTCTCTCCAGAATATTGAGTAAAGATAGAAAGAGCTGGGTGAAAGAATAAAGGCAAACAGAGTTGTAAAAAATGTGAAAAAGCAAATTTACCATCACAGAATAGTTAGGGTTGGAAAGGACCTTAAGGTCATACAGTTTCAACGTCCTGCCACGAGCAGGGATGCCTCACACTAGGCTGTGTCACTCAAGGCTCTGTCCAACCTGGCCTTGAACACTGCTGGGGATGGAGCACTCACCACTTGTTTGGAAAACCTGTTCCAACACCTCACTACCCTCACAGTAAAAAACTTCTTCCTTATATCTAACCTGAACGTTGCCTGTTTAGGTTTAAACCATCACCCCTTGTCCTATTGCTACAGAGAAATGGTGACAAGATTCTTCTCTCTGTCTAGTTTCAGTAAATCAAAACCTTTTGGTTTCACCTCTGTTCAGAGAGCTGAAAAGGGCAGGAAGTTAGTGCATGTAGCTGTTTGTATGACTCTTGCTATCAGTGCGGAACTGTAGATATCTCCTTGACACCTTCGGGTTTTATTCTTTTTCAGGATGACACTGAGCCGTACTTTATTGGAATATTTTGCTTTGAAGCTGGTATAAAAATCATCGCTCTGGGGTTTGTTTTTCATAAAGGCTCTTACCTCCGGAACGGTTGGAACGTGATGGATTTTGTTGTGGTCCTCACAGGGTAAGTGACCTCCTCCTGCTCCAAGTTTAACGGGGACTCTTGCTTGGATTCATGTTGGCTTTTTTTTTTCCAACTATGGGTTTGGCTGGCAGTGATTTTAGTGAAACTACAAGAAAACTGCATTTTGACCATGCAGTTTTAAAACAATGGCTATTGTGCTGAATGAGTCACTTTTAAAGTGTTGTTTGAACCACCTGCGAAGAGGCTTGGAGGATAGTTATTTGCATATATGCTGTCATGCATCTTATCTGGATGCTTACCAGCATTGCTCCAGCTTTGCAGGTTCTAATTGCCACTGGGTACTTGAACCTCATTTAAACCAATCTGTCTTCTGACTTTACAGGATGACTTTAAAAGTCAGCATGGAGTGAGTTAACAAATTAAATGCATCCCATTTTTAAGCTGTTACAACTTTGAAAGAATGACTTTGGTCTGCTATAAAAAAACCCTTTCCTAAAACTAATTCAAAGAGGGTGCGTGTCTTACGGATAGAGCTGAAAATGCTACCTGTGTTTTTGTACCTTGGCTTGAAATGATATCCCTAATTTCTTTCTTGGAAATGCTTACAATATTTTTCTGCTATGCATTGCAACAGTTTTAGTATCTGTTTATATAAATACAGTGTAATGCTAGTGAGTAATGAAAACACAAACATTAAGTAACATGGTCTACAAATTGTGCTTTAAAGCTCCAGAGGAAATGTTCCAAAGGTCTGTGTGAGGTCCTGATCTTGCAGCCTTCATCTTGGAAGGATTTCAGTTGTTTTTTTCCCCAGAAAACTGCAGTCTGGCTCTTGTTATTAATACAAACTCATTTTACACACCTCTGCTACTGTGTGCACTGGACATCTCTGTTCTTTGGTCTGGTTAGTGGTGTAGATTAGGATGCTGTCAGGAAAATACTTGTGTACATATATAAATGTATTCATTAGACACATTATCACTGTATTTCTATTTGTAGTCAGTGTACCTTGTGATATAACAATTGAGAGGCCAAAGGGAATTCTTTCTGTATTGAGAGGAAGAAAATAAATATGCAGGGCTTGATTCTCCTGCTGCTGGGGCTGGGTGTTTAATCAATAGAAACTTCAGTGGAGTCACAAGGAGAATCAGATTTACATGCTTGGAAGCATAGGGGGTACCAGGATGAAAAGAGAATTAGCACAGATGCTACAATTACTTGCACCGACGGTATGTTCTGATTCCTGGTGAGCACTATGCCCTTTTGTGTGTTTAAAAGCAACTAAATAAAAGAAAGTCAAGGCCCTGATTCTAGAAAGGACTTTGGCATGTGGCTTGATTTATCCTTCAGCAAAGCATTCAAGTACACGTTTGAATTCAGCTGACTCCAGTGGTTCTGTACTGAAAGTTAAGGCTGTATGTAAAAGCTGCCTGAATTACAGCCATATTGGTATTAGTTTAGGCATGTGTTAGGTTTTTTTCCATGAACAAGGGTCAGGAATCAAAATAGATATATGGGTTTTGAACTGCCTTGCTATGACTGAGATAGTAAAGTTTTGCAAGAGCAGCTGAAACCTCCTCTATGTCCCATGCTTGTGGCATCACAACCGAGTGTGTGATGCTTATACGTGTGACACCAGCATTTACTGGTGCTGCTGGTGGTTATTGTGAGTGCTGCTTGCAGAGCTGTTTGATCTCAGAGCATAATTGTGGACTATCAGCTTGATTAGACAGCTGGAATAGGAACCCTGTTGCCATCTGCAAACATGCGCAGTCTTTTGAAGTACAATCCTGTTAACGTCAAAGCTGCTGGTTTCCAATGGTGATGCTAGCTGGGCTGTATTGAAATCGTCTTGTACATGGACTTCCCACCAGGCAGGCAGTGCAGGGAAGGCAAAGCGTAAACTGGCCGACACTAAGTCCAAGACTCATCTCCACTGAGGAAATCACAGACCTCTAATCCTATAACTCAAGGGCTGGATTTACAAGGCACTTGAGCTCATGCCCAGTTTTTGGTGTCTGGGGAGTGTGTGTGTGGGGCTACTGAAAATAACAGGTTTACTCATGTGCTTGGTTAGATAAATGTTTTCCTGTGTCTGGGACTGTATTTCCAAACCCAGTAATGAGGTGGAGGGTCCTATAGTAGAGAAATAACACTGAAAGGTCTGCAGCATCACATGGGGAATGGAATTAGTGTTTTCTCTGTAGCCTGTTGTGTTTTGCTCTGCATTTCCTAGATCCTTATTATGTTCTTAGCTCACTCCTGTGTTGCCATGGGTCTGTGCTAGAAAGCAGGAGCCTCCTCTTCCTTGGGCTTCCTTCACTGGCCAGGAATCCTTTCATCTGCCTATTGCCTGGCTCAGTTAACAAGGGGCAGGCTGAGCAAGGCAGATTAGTGGAGACAGACGTGATCCTGGCATTCCACATTGAGACTGCTGAAGAAGAACATTTACTCCTGACAAACCCAACTGTTTCTCCAGGGACAGGGTTTGAGGTGGTGACACAAGTGGGACCTTAAATTTCATTTCTGTGGAAGACAGACTCCGATCAGTGTGTTTCAAAAAAAGATCAGGCAGGTTCTGTGATTTATTCTGGAATAATAAAAAAGGACAGTGCTGAACTAGTACTTAATATGTTCTTATAAATATAGATAGGTAGCACATCAGTTTTTGAAATACCATTTTACTACTCTATCCAAAGCTTCCCTTTGCCATATGTGCAAGATTTCTGCTTGAAAATGTTACTTCATGTTTCCCAGGCAGTGCTGAGCGTTCAGCTCTTAAGCTCAGTTTTGCATTGATCTTCAATGTTACAGAGGGATTTTGATTTCTCTTTTTTAATGTGTAGGCATGAAAGATCATGAAAATGCAGCTCATGGCACCACACGCAGAGCTGTGTACCTGCTAATCCTGTTGAGTGCACATTTGTATTAAGGTAAATGGTGAATGTCGGAAAATCTGATCTCATTTTCAGCTTGTAGCTAAACCCCATGAAAGCCAAGAGAAGCTTTTGCTCTCCTTAACTGTTTCCATAGGAAGGAGGCCAGCCAGTGTCTGGGTGTGTTTTGGAGGAGGCTGTGGGGGAAGGCTCTGCATTTATTGAACTTACCCTTATGTAAATATTACAGTGATCATGCAGTGCCCCTTTCCTCCTGTTTTCCCCAACCCTCTTTTTTCGCTCCTCAATGCGTGGACACCGGCATTACTGATAAATATATTTTTAGTTTACCTGCAATGATGGACATTTTGTTCGTCAAAAATCAGGCAGTAGAACTTGTTAAATTGAGACTAAATCAGGGCCGTGTTACAGGCAGCCAGGATCAATATCCTATTGAGCTAAGCTTGAATCTAACAGATAGTGGCCCAAAATGGCTTGGTTTGCTGTTCCAGAGAACACTCGCTCGGTTTCTTTCCACAACAACGCCGTGGAGGCTGTCTCCTTTACTTTCCAGGAAGCATGCTGATCCGCTGTTAATAGAGGCCATGGAAAATAATAGATTGCTGCTCCTTGAAAGATTTTTTTTTTTTTGGTAATTTTTTTCAGTTGTTTCTTGTAAACTCCTCCAGTTGTAGATGAGTATCGAGGAAAGCTGCCCCGCTGCGATGTGCCTGTTGCTATTGTGAAGACAAGTATGTTTTAGAGCTCCTATTCACTTCCTTGTCACAGTTCTATGGGGTTGCGTTCACTCCAGTGATGACATTACCCATCAGCAGCTCTAAATCACACAAAAGTGCAGTTCCTCAACTGGCTTTGGACGATATGCTCTCAATGCAGTATTCCCAAGGTAGGAGCAAAGGGACTTCTTACTGTGTTGCTGCAACCTGTCTTAGGGTGGAAACCTCACAAGTCTTGGGGACAAGGTTCACCCTACACCTGAACCACTCAGAGGGCAGTGGATGGAGCTATGAGCCTGAATTCGAGGCCTTGAGGTTCAGACCTGTCTGTGTTTGAGTTCATGGGAAGATTTCTTCTGGTGTCCTGGGCCTGAAGGGCTGCTCTTCTGGGTTAAACTACAGACCTCTTCTCTAGCTGGAGATGGTGACTGCTAAGGAGAAGAATGGAGATCAAGGCATGGATGAACCAGTTCTTATCTTCCTGATTCTGAAATTCAGATGTCTAGGGATTTTTGAGAAAAAAATACGGGTCTAATGGCTTTTAAACTGTGTGGCTCAAGGGTACTGTCCTTGGTTGTGTTTTGGGGCCTGTTGACGCCTCTGGCTTCATCATATCCTGGGTAATGTCTCATGTTTTAATTACATACTATAGAAAAGGTGCTGCTTGTCCCTTTTTTTCACCACTAACTACCTGAGATTTCCATTGGTCCTTTCTAGGTTTTGTATACTAAGATCTGGAGAACAGTCATTCCTTTTCCTGCATGCTTATGGTGTTTATGAATCTCCAGCATTTCCCCAGTCAGAGGTTTATGCTGCCCAACCTCCTTTAACACCACTGGTCTATGCTCTTGCTCTGGTCCTTTCCTAGTTCTATCATAGGCAACGACCACAGCCACGTGAAGCGTTTGTCCAGCACCAAGAGTTGCTAAAGCCTGGTATAAATAACTAGAGCACTTGCAAGGATCATGCTCTGTCCTTTATGAGCAGAGTTAGGATTTTTGGCGTTCAATCAGCCTGGCCTAAACACTCTCGAAGAGTCCTGGTAGCTTCTTGAGCCAGTTGGATCAGTTGCCTGCATCTCTGGGTGGGACTGGCAGAGACAGTGTGTGCCAGGACCGGAGCTGCCAAGTGATGTGCACAAAGTCTGTGTGCTGTTACTGATGTCTCAGGCTGTCGGGAACAAATTACAAAAGCTAGAATTATCCTGATTGTCTGGATGACTGAGAAACGTGCTCCTAGCTCCTGGTAATGCTAATAAATTGGAAGGTAACTCATTTAGTAGCATAATAAAGACCTGTTCATCCTTGATGTTAGCTTTGCTAGTTACCAGGATCATCTTAGTATGTGGGCAGTCTGAGATGCTATTCCTGGTACAGTGTATGAGGAGCAGCAGCAGCCTTGCTTGCAGTGCTGACTGTCAAAGGGG